CTTATGAATACTAAAAATATTAGCTGGCACAAAAAAAAACGTATATCGGTAGATTAGTTCCAAAATCAGTAATAATTGATAAATCAGTAGGATTGTCAAACTGACACAGAACCATGCGTCAAAAGCAAGTCTCTCAGTATCTGTGTTTGGTTTGTTTGGTTTGCTAGAAATGAATATGATGAAAGACGACATTATTTGACATTTGAAAGGATACGATGAAACTGAAAAATAAAACCTGAATAGAATTAAACAGTTTCTGCATGAAAATAACTTTTTTTACATTATTATCAGATGTTTTTCCATATGAAAAACTATTAAATAAATAATACTTCTTGTCTCGGTCTCGGCAGAGAATATGTTTTTTTTCGGTCTCGGTCTTGGCCGAAACTAAAAATCCAGGTTCGGTCGGACCTTCATAGGAACATTGCTTTAAACTGAGGCATCCTTAATTAAACACCGTTAAAGGTTAATTCTCACTATACCTTTCATATCAGCTCCCTTCCGTTTTCCTTCCGTTTACATAAAATATTATATCATGTAAATGAATAGGACAATGCACACTATCCTTTCCGTTTCCCTTCCGTTCCATATCCTTTCCTTCGATACATTTTTTTGGCGGACGAACTGAAGTGTATCGGAAACAGCGTTGTCAAGTTCTTATATTTGTACCAGCTCTGTTAACATTTTGCCGATATTTATTTATTCTTTCACCTCTGAATTAAATCTATTACCTTTCTTAAAAGATACAAATTTTTAAAGTAAAACTTTCGTAATAATATAAATTATACAATAAAAAGTATACGTAACTGATACGGAACGGAAGCTTATACTTATAGCGTCAATACAATAAAAATACGGAACAGATATGTTACGTAATATATTACGTATACACAAAGTAAGGGATACACAGTGTGCCGTAGTATACATAGTGCTTGTGTATTACGTTTAAACTCTGTTTACACATTGCAGTTGTGACTACCGCGTGTATACGTGTGTATTTTGCTTCGTATATACATCTTGTGCTAGATAAAACTACTTCTTATGAACGAATTTAGGAAATAATACAAGTTTTGATGCCTAACTTTTCGTTCTTTATAAGAAATATTTATTCAATGATACCAGTTATATCTTTTTAGAACGAAAATTAGGAAAGCAAAACTTTGTATTTTCCAAAAGTATCTCGATCGTAAGTTCAAGAGAAGTAGCCTTAAAATTGATCCATTTTTGTTTTGTATTAAATGTACCATTTTTCTTCCATAAAATGGATTAGGTGGTTAAAAAATAAAATTCTTATATTTCTTTATATCATGGAACGCAATAGCGCAAATAACACAATAATAATAATTATTTACACTGCAGAAACCAAAAGTAAGAAAACACTGTAAAAGGACAGAATTTGTATCAAAATGTATTAAAAACATAAGTACCTAGTATAACAACATACTAAAATGGTAAACACTGGTATATCGCCACGATTTGGTGGACCTCGTTTAGTCATTTTTTTCTCCTCTTTTCCCTCCAAGCAGTTGGTTTGTTAGCATACTCATTCATCGAGCACTCTATTGGACTTGTTGTATTTTATTTCCAGATTAGTCAATCTCACCCCTTAAACTTTATATGAAACTGATTATTGAATATTAAACATATCTGAATATTGATCCATAAATCTTCTTCTTCCTGTGCCTTGTGCTTAGCCGCACGTTGGCGATTGTCTGTACTCTTCATACAATGTGTAGACTGCCGTTTCCGGCTCTTCGAAATATGGTGATGTTACACGAATCCCGTATGTTTCTTAGCCAGGAATGTTGTTTTCTTCCTGGGCCTCGCCGTCCCTCTATTTTTCCTTGTAGAATCAGCTTAGGAATGTAATATTTGTCTCCTCTAAGGATATGGCCGAGGTATGAGACTTTCCTTTCTTTAACTATATTAAGCATTTCTCGTTCATAGCCTGCAGTTCTTAAAACTTCTTCGTTGGTTACATGTGCGGTCCATGGCACACGTAAGAGTCTCCGGAGAGTCCACATTTCGAAAGCCTCGATGCGGTTCAAGGTTCTAGCTTTGGGTGACCAGGTTTCTGCGCCGTATAGTAAGATGGGCCATATGTAGCATTTCACTACCCGTAGTCTAAGTGTTAGCGGGAGACTGCGTGCTAATAGGAAGTTTTTAAGTTTAAAAAATGTTGACTTTGCATAATTCGTTCTAAGTTTAACTTCCTCATCGCAGTCCCATCGTTCATTGATCATGGCACCCAGATATTTAAATCGTGGAACTCGCTCTATAATATTTCCATCCACGGTCAATGCGGTGTTGATTGTAGGCTGGCGTCCTATTACCATAAGTTTGGTCTTGGCAGCGTTGATTTTAAGACCGAAACGATTTCCCATGTCCCCTATCTTATTTATTATTTGCTGGAGATCCTCTAAAGTTCGTGCTAGTATTACCGTATCATCTGCATATCTTATATTGTTAATTGGAACTCCGTTAGTCCTAATTCCTCCACTTTCTCCTTCCAGGGCCATTTGAAATATTTTTTCGACGTATATATTAAAAAGTATTGGTGACAGTATACAGCCCGCTTACAGTGCTTTCCATCAATAACTTACCGAATATCAGTGTAAGAAGTTCTTTGAAGTGTTTAAATCTTTCTTTCTCTGGTCCATTTAGATTTTTATTATTTCCAAATTAAAAAAATATATATTGCAGAGCTAACCTCTTTATCATTATACGAGAATATTTGGAGTTTTCAATCATTGGAGTTAAAATTTGGTAAATTGGGTATCGAGTAAGGGAAGAGTCGCTACTATAATATTAATAATACTCTTAGGAAAGTGTAACAAAGTAATTAAAAACTTGTGCTTACCTTAAAATCTCTTTTAAACTACACACAAACAGAAAATTTTATATAGGGTGTTTCAAAACAAATGCGAAAAACTTCAGAGGCTGATTCCTTGTTCAAAATAAAGGGTAGTTTGCTTCATAAACGTCGGGTCAAAAGTCAATCATTAGGGAGATATCGCGGTACAAAGATGGCGGAAAAATAATGTTTTAATTTTTTATCTTGAAAACGAAAAGAGGTGGACTAATGAAATTTTATGGAAGCATTACTGTTATGAAAACACACTTTCTGGTAATTTTCTCACTTTTTTAAAATGAGTGGAAGGGGTTGAAATAAACTACCCCTATTATACTTGTTAACGAAATTTAAAGAAAAATCTTATCAAACACATACAAAAAAATTAACTTGGATAGTTTAGTTTGTTTAGAAACGTTTTTATCTCTTGTGTTTTTTTGATAAAACTCACCGATTTGAAATTAAAAAATAAAATGTAAAGCATTACCCCATGTCAGGACAAAAAACATTTTTATTTTTTAATATGTACTTTTTTTATTATTTTGTACTTTCATGAATTAAAAAACAGAATTAAAAATTGTTTGGTAAATAATTTTTAAGAGGTTATCGTTCAGAAGAAAATGTAACGATATTATTACGAAATAAAACTGTTTGACAGCAGCCTACTAGATTCTTTATCCAAAAATGTTTTTTGTCCTGACATAATTGTAATGCTTTACATTTTATTTTTTAATTTCAAATCGGTGAGTTTTACCAAAAAAACACAAGAGATAAAAAAGTGTCTAAACAAACTAAACTATCCAATTTTTTTTTTGCATGTATTTGATAAGATTTTTCTTTAAATTTCGTTAACAAGAATGATAAGGGTAGTTTATTTCAACCCCTTCCACTTATTTTAAAAAAGTGAGAAAAATTACCAGAAAGTGTGTTTTCATAACAGTATAATGCTTCCAAAAAATTTCATTAGTCCATCTCTTTTCGTTTTCAAGATAACAAATTGAAACATAATTTTTCCGCCATCTTTGTACCGCGATATCCCTAATGGTTGGCTTTTGACCCAACGTTTATGAAGCAAACTACCCTTTATTTTGAACAAGAAATCAGCCCCTGAAGTTTTACGCATTTGTTTTGAAACACCCTGTATAAGCTTCCGTTCCGTATCAGTTCCATACTTTTTATTGTACAATTTATATCATTATGAAAGTTTTATTTTAAAAATTTATATCTTTTGAAAAAGGTAATAGATTTAATTAAGAGGTGAAAGAATAAAGAAATATCAGCAACATTTTAACAGGGCTGGTACAAATGTAAGAACTTGACAACGCTGTTTCCGATACGCTTCAGTCCATGGAAGGAAAGGATATGGAACGGAAGGGAAACGGAACGGATAGTGTGCATGGTCCTATTCATTAACATGATATAATATTTTTATGTAAACGGAAGCTGATATGGAAAGTATAGTGAGAATCAATCTTAAAGTGAAAAAAATAGATGTAGGAAAAACAATCAATACTCCTACTACAATATCACAGATTATACAGATTAAAAACTTATCGTCAAAAGCATTGTTTTTCGTGGTTCCAATTTTCGGAGTCGCGCACAAGCACGCCCACTTATGGCCTCTAAAATTGTGCACAGCGCCTGACCGGCCTATTGACCAGCCCAGTTATTGCGCTGTTTAAACGGGAGTTTTATTATTATTATTTTTGCGCACAAGAATATTTACTCGTTTGCTCATCGTCATAAAAAACAATTTTCATACCACGAATTAGGGACAAGATTTTAACTGTATACTTATAGGATACCTAATCTGTGACAATATTAACAATTTTGACTGTGCAAAACTGCCAGAAACCTTCATATTGTCGTCTTTTTGGACAAAAATCCTTCAGCCCTTCACTCGACGAAATTTGACTGTAAAATCCTTTAATTCTGGCAACACTGAATTTCCTCAAAATGTTTAGAAATTTTCCGTCTTTGTCAGTAGGTACTCGTTCCATTCCGGTACCTGTACCGCAATAAAGAGGCGGTACAAAAGCAATATTCTCTTACCTGATTGGTTGTATTATGGTAATTGCTTTGATAAGGAAAATCCATAAATACAACTTTATAGCCTCAATTCTATCAGTTCACGACCGACCTTCTAGCTTACCGTAGCTCGTGAAGCGTTCCGAGAACATTTTATTTTATACCGATTATTTTGACAGTGTTCTTGAGTTTCAAGCCAACCTCAATCATGTCTCTCTATGAAAGTAAGCGTCTTTACCGTTTTTATCTTGATTTTTTCTAGATATCTTTGAAATTTCTCCGTAAGAAAACTACAATATTTTACTATTTATTTCTAGATAACAACATGCTGCCTGCGGTAGGAATGCTGGGATCAGGGGAACCAAAACATGAGATGGGAACATCAGAAACGTCGGAGGAAGCCAATATGTCTCCTGTTTACAATGTGCAGGCGTTCTACGATCCACTTCGGTACATGTATAATCCGGGTGCCGTTGCTGAAGATCATCCCCCTATGGTGAGTACTAATTTTATATTTTCAATTTGAAAAAATATAATATTCTCAAAACACGGATAGGGTGTAGGGAGGGGTTTCAGTCGATATTACGGACAGTTAAAACGTTAAATTTTCCATACAAATTAGGTAAAAACATCTGATATAGCACTTTACTACCTGATATACAAGGTGGTCCAACCGTATTCCGGAAATTTCGGCAGCATATTCTGCAGATAAAAATATGTAAAAAAGTTCGTATAAATGTATATCCTAAAATGCTTAGTTTCGGAGATACAGGGTGTGTAACGTCAATATTTCGTCAAAAAACTCCCAGACCCCAATTTTCATCCAAATATTGACGTTATTTCAGAAATTATTTAGAAAAAAACCGAAATAAAAATGAAATTTCTACACCCTGTATCTCTGAAACTAAACATCTTAGGACATACATTTATACGAACTTTTTTACTTATTTTTATCTGCTCAATATGCTGCTGAAGTGTCCGGAATACAGTTCGGACCACCCTGTAGATGTGGATTCACATATTATAAGCATAAAAATTCAATAAAACCTCTTTCTAAGCGTAAAAATTAAGAAAATACATGTCTTTACAATATTTCGAGCTAGCAACCATTGACTTTTAGATTGACAGTTGATCGACGGCCTTCGCATACAATTTGCGACGTTGTCAATATAATTATTTTTTATGATTTTCTACTAATAATCTTTGTTATTTTCATTAATAAAAAAATTATACTTGTAAATATGATTTATTTTTAATCGAACACTTTCATTTCGATAGCTTTATAAGTTAGTTTATAATATATAATTTTAGAAAATATACTAGATAAAAATTTATTTATTCATAATAATTATACAGCTCTAGCAATAAACAAACACTGTGATTTTGCAAAAATATTATTAGATTGGTTAGAATTTGGGTTGCTCTGGTTAGGTTTATTTAGGGAGGGGGGTTAAGCTGTGTTTTTTTTTTATTTTGTTACGAATCTGAGTGCTTTGAAACGTGAAAAATTGGCGTACAATAACGGCAACGTCGCACAGGTTAATGTCATCATATGTTTGTGTCATCTGTCAAAATTTCTCCGCACCATCAAATAGTAGTATCATTTTATTTCAATATTTTAAAATTTACTGGATAATCCGCAATTTCTTTTGGCTTAAATTACCTACAAATACACGTACTTGCACGTGAAAAATTGGCGTAAGACAATGGCAACGTCGCACAGGTTAATGTCATCATATGTTTTTGTTACTGTCAAAATTCCTCCGCAACATCAAATAGTAGCATCATTTTATTTCAATTTTTTAAAATTTACTGGATGCTTTTTTTACTTTACTTAAATTCGGAATTTTTTTATTTTTATTTTTTAATTTAATAATAAAAACATATAGTACGAGAGCTAGCAACGTCGGGAAAACAAGCAGTTTAAGAAATCTGGTTCTTTGATACATCTTTTACTATGCTTTCTGGAACAGCGTGAGGGCCGTGTGGCTGCCGGGAGACGTTGCGTTCACTACTGCGCATTGAAAGAAGATCCTATATTTTTATTAGTCCTTTAAATTCTAGTATTGAATATGAATCGAACAAGTCTCCATTATGAAGCGAGGAGTCTAGTTCGAGACCCCCCGGCTCGGGGTATAAAATAATTTTATTTTCGTTTATATTCTGATAGTAAAGTATCTATTAAATCATTCTGGTGCTTCAAAAAATGGGGACTTGTTCGATTTATACTCAATACTAGAATTTAACGGACTAAATAAAAAAAAATATAGGATCTCCTTCCAATGCGCAGTAGCGAACGCAACGTGTATCGGCAGCCAGAGAGCATTGTAAAAGGTATATCAAAGAGCCAGTTTTCTTAAAATACTTTCTCGAAAAGGTTGCTAGATCTTAGACTAATAGTTTCTTGAAAATGTGGCAAGATAATTAGTAAATTAAATTTAAAAGAAAGAAAATCCAAGAAAAATCCAGTGGTTCCTAAAATTTAAGCAAAAAAACATTTTTTTTTTTAATTTTGTAAATAAAATATCTCTGTCATTTTGGCCTTATTTGGAAAACGGTAAAGAGAAAATACGTTTCTCTTATCGAGATCTACCAGCCCTAAAAATATCTGAACTTATTTAACACTCACCCTGTATAGGTACAGGGTGGGTCAAATTAGACGCTTTTAAATGGAAACACCCTTTTCTATAGGAGATAAACAAAAACTAATATCGGTGTCTGGAGCTCAATTTTTGTCAAAAACATTATGGTGAAAACCGCATATCGATATCTGTTACCGTTTCGGAGTTACGGGGTGTTTTTCAAAAATATGCTTTTTTAATAAATCGCTGTAACTTTTTTGCTATAGAAAATTTTGTATTTTTATGAAAACATTTCCAAAGCACCTTTTTACGTAGAATTTAATGGTTTAAGTATAATTTTTTTAAAATTAATAATTTAAGAATTGTCAACAGAAAATTTGATTGTTTATATGGGACACCCTGTATATTTTTAATTTATTGAAAAGTATTTAAAATTACCTTTCCAAAAATATAACACACTTGATATTTTGCTCGATTCCTCTTCGAGATATTCTTTATCGAGATATATACTTCGTATATAAAAATTCGTCCGCTTTAAATAAGTAGCCTTTGAACGGCACCGGCTGTAATGCAAAAAAATTGTAGCTGTGAGCATCAATTAAAACGAAAATAACATTTGCTATGAGAGATGCAGAATTTTATAACAATTTAAAATATATTTAACCAACATCAACACATTTAAGCTATATCTAATAACAATAAAAATGACAGTTTTTGAACATTTCTCGCGGAATTCATTAACTCAGTGGGGGTGAAAGATACCTTCTCATAACTGCTAAGTATTTCTAATTCTTGTCTAGATTATACGGAAGAACAAGGAATCTTTATTCTTCCGCAAATATATCCATAGGATTAGATCCATGGGCACTAAGTCAGGCAGCCTCGACGGCCAACGGCTGGGATCTTGGTTAGCTATTCAATTATTCTTATAATTCGCTGCAAAAATTTGCTGATAACTTCAGCATTCTGAGGCGGTGCGTCGTCTTGCTGGAAAAATATGTTTTCGAGTTCCATTAAGGGCATATCATCAATAAGGGGTCCAAAGCCTACTAGTTAAAAGTGGCGAACTTTTAAATATTCTGTATTTCGAAGGGGATTGTAACAAAATATCAAGTGTGCTATATTTTTGGAAAGGTAATTTTAAATTCTTTACAGTTAATTAAAAATATAGAGGGTGTCCCAAATAAAAAATATTTTTTTCTGTTGATAACTCTTAAATTATTAATTTTTAAAAAATTATACTTAAACCATTAAATTCTATGTAAAAAGGTGCTTTGGAAATGTTTTCATAGAAATAAAAAATTTTCCATAGCAAAAAAGTTACAGCGATTTGTTAAAAATGCACATTTTTGAAAAACACCCCGTAACTCCGAAACGGTAACAGATATTGATGTGCGGTTTTCACCATCATGTTTTTAATGAAAATTGAGCTCCAGACACTGATATTAGTTTTCGTCTATCTCCTATAGAAAAGGGTGTTTCCATTTAAAAGCGTCGAATTTGACCCACCCTGTACAGTCGTGTCATGTTAGTTTAAAAATGCTTTCAATTTATAATTATTTATCACACAAAAAGGATGGATATCCAAACTTTTTTTAAGATCAATATACAGGGTGGTCCGAACTGTATTCCGGAAACTTCGGAAACATATTCTGCAGTTAAAAATATGTAAAAAAGCTCGTATAAATGGATGTCCTAAAATGCTTAATTTCGGAGATTCAGTGTGTACAAGTATCATTTTTATTTTGATTTTTTCCAAATAATTTCTGAAGTAACACTAATATTTGGATGAAAATTGGTGCCTGAGGGTTTTTTGACATGAGAAATTTGATTTTGATGTCAATATGACTCCTAACTATAGGGGGCGCCACCTAAATGTGTTTTATCTATTTTGAAGAGTAATAACTTTTCATCTGTACCTGTATAAAACTACTGAGTGAAAAAATATATATTTCCGTGATTTTTTGCGTAAAAAATATCTCTTGGTAAAAATCGTTACGAGCAACCATTACATGTCATTATTAACAAAAAATAAACATGTTGAGTATACAGGGTGTCTCAGATTTTAATCGGGAAAATTTAACAGACGATAGAACTTGCAAAAATAAAACTAAAAGTTCATATCAACTTGTAAGATTTAAAGCTTCCTTTTCGAGATACAGGGTCTTAAAGATGCTTAAAAAAGAAAAAAAATTAAGATATTTGAAAAACTATTTAATCGATTTTGATATAACTTGACCCGTTTATAATACTTACTATGGGACTTAATTTGATGTAATTAGATTTAAGTTTAATGGCCAGGGGCGGCGGTGGGGCATCACTGTTAAATTATTTTAAAGAAAAAAATAGGCACGCCACTGCTTTTTTAGAAGTTTAATATTATTTTTGGATTTAGTAATTAAAAATATTATTTTTTTGTCTCCTGACTTTTTTGTCTATCTTGCTTACTTCTTGCGAAAAAAAATAAATTCTAATTGGTAATTAATATTATAATTGGTATTCTAATTGTACCCTGTATCTCGAAAAGGAAGCTTTAAATCTTACAAGTTGATATGAACTTTTTGTTTTATTTTTGCAAGTTCTATCGTCTATTAAATTTTCCCGATTAAAATCTGAGACACCCTGTATAGTTATTCGACTGAAATTATAAATTTGGAAACTTTTTAATTTTTTAAATTAATCATAATTTTTCCTTCGAAAAAATCAGTTTCTGTTGAACTTTTGGCACAAAAACAATTCAAGCATTTTAGGACATACATTTGTACCTAAGAACTTTTTTACTTATTTTTATCTGCAGAATATGCTGCCGAAGTTTCCGGAATAAAGTTCGGACCACCCTGTATTTGTGCATGGACTCTCTTTACACATATCTCACATAACAAACCTCAATCTAACCATTTTTATTTTGTTACAGCCCATCCAATTACCAACCGAAGGAGTACCCACTGAACCCAACGAACTTTTGCGCCTAAACAACGACCGGCGAAACGTACCCAACAAACGAGTCCGAACCCAGTACTCCTCAACTCAGCTGGTCGAACTAGAGAAAGAGTTTATAAAGAGCCGGTACCTGTGCCGTCCGCGTCGAATCAACCTAGCCCAATCCCTTGCACTCACCGAGAAACAGATCAAGGTATGGTTCCAGAACCGCAGGATGAAGTTCAAGAAGGAGACTAAAGCCAGATCCCCCGAAGGACTAAATGGAAGAGCTTCAGCGGATAGTTCGTCCTCGCGAGGATCGTCCCCGCCGAGACCCAGATCCGCCGAGAGAAGTATGGTAGTAAATCGATTGATGAACCATTCGGTTTTGAACAACTTACCTTACAACTACGGTACTGCTCCGACTTGTCCGCCAGTCCAGCCAGTCGAAGCAGGATTGGGAGCGTCTCATTGGAACGGAGGCATGTTCGATCACCAGTTTCAGCCGGTGTATCCTCCTTTTCCTGTTGAAGCTGAGTACCCGAACTTTCCGTTTTCGAGTAGTTATCCGCAACAGTTGTACCAAGGAGCGGCTCCGGCGCCGGCGCCCCCGGCATGCGTGCAGGCTTCAACCAGCGGGATGCTCTACGGTGCGCAAGAGTTGGTGCCTAATCCCCCGAGATATGTCACTCCGGAAAGCGGGCAGGAAAGTACGTCTCCGCCGGTGTTGCACGAAGAAAGTTATTTTGCTGCAACTGGATATACCCAGTTGTAGATGGCACAACTTAGGTTGAACTGCAAATATGGACAAATACTTTTTTATTTGCGGATATATAATATAAAGAAACTTACAAAAAAAAATGACGAAAGATATCTTATAAGAAGATTATATATATTTGGGAGCACTAATACACAGCTCAGAATTTCTACTACCAGAAATCAACAGAAGAATTAAGTTAGCATGGAGTACTTATGGAAGAAACTCAGTCATATTCAAATCTAGAATTGTACTTTATCTAAAGAAGAAAACATTCGAGCAATGTTTCTACCAGTCGTGACTCAACTCAGGATCTCTAGTACCAGAAATCAAGCAGAATGTTTACTGGAGAAACAGGAAGGAACTAATTCTAAAATCAGCTTGGCAGGACATATGTCTGTGAAGTAGTACCTGAACAAGCTCAACCTGTATCAAGGAAGTCTTTGCTGCAGATTTTTGATCAATAAACTTTGGTAAGACTGATATCGGAGATGGAGAGCTAACCCCTAACCCCTATAAGACTGTCTCAGATACCTGCTTTTGTCAAAGCCCTGAGACTGTTCGCTGAGTTATAACTCAAGAAAGGGGACACAATAGATTTGTAACGTCGCGGTAGTTAACTCCCATGCATTCTCCATTACAGCATCATAAAGAAACTGCAAGTAGCACGAGGCTAAATAGAATGAAATATGTTGTGAATAACCAAGAAAGACCGTAAAAGAATAGAGTGGATACGATAAAAGACTCAAGTAATAGGTGTCATCCGCAGAATCAAATCACTCAAGTGGCAATGGACAGGACACCTGGCAAGAAGGACACCTGGCAAGAAGAACAGATGGACTACAAAAATTACAGCACGTATCCACGAGAAATTAAGAGACCTAGTAGAAGGCCAAACCTGAAATGGCACCATGATATTAGGCAATTAGCAGGAATATCTTAAGCCTGCATATCCAACAATAGACAACAATGGGTCCAATTACAAAGATTATACAACTCTATGTACATACACAGGGTGGGCCATTGAAAACTTACAATTGCTATAATTTTTAAACCAAAAAAGATATCAAAAAAATAAAAAATACCATTTCTATAATATCGAGGGGGAATACATATAAGGTATTTTTTGAACCGCCCTGACCTACCCCTTAGGAGGCACCCCCACTCACTTGAAAATCTTAAATGGCAACACCCCACTTGTGGCGTCTTTTTGGAAAGCTCATGAAAAATTCTAAATGATGATCATAAAGTTTTTAGGGTGAAATTGAAAAACTACCTTTACACGAACAATTAGGTGGATATTAATGAAAAAGGTGATTTTTTCAGCATATGTTACAAATTGAAACCCAAATGAAGTATTTTTCAAACCACCCCAACCCACCCCTAGGTGGCACCCCTGACTTCTAATCTCAAGATAGCGATACCCCACTTGTGACACTTCTTTGGAAAGCTAATTGAAATTGCTAAACGATGGTCATACAGACTTCAACTGAATTACTGGTTAGTGACAAGAAATGTAGGCGTGACAATTTGAAAGAAATTTAAAATGATAATTTATTTTAATAATTGCTCAAAATGACAGCCGTTTTGTTCCATACAAAAATACAAACGACTTTTTGGAAAGTCTCTCTCGGAATATTTCGACATGCTTCAGTTCTCCTTTACCGCAATTTTTGCAACGAACCTGGTTTTGTCTTGTAGACTATGGATTTAGTGTAACCCCAAAAGGAAAAGTCTAAAGGAGTGAGATCAGGTGACCTTGGCGGCCACTCGATTAGACCCCTTCTGCCAATCCATTGCCTTGGATAATATTTATCCAACCACCGCCTTGTGACAATGGAATAATGCGAAGGGGCTCCATCTTGCTGAAAGTGTATGAGGTCTTCATTAAGAGTTATAATACATTTCTTTGTACCAGCTTTTTTTCTCGCGATGGTTCATGGATACAAAAATAATTCATGCTATTGATTTTGACACGTTTTGACATTTTTGTTTTATTTTTAGGCTCTATTTTTTTCGTCCTTTTTTATGACAGTCGTTCAGCATTTTTTATACGCTTTAAGAGGTGTCACAAGTGGGGTATCGCTATCTTGAGGTTAGAAGTGAGGGGGTGGCTTACAACCTAGGGGTGGGTCGGGGTAGTTTGAGAAAAACCTCATTTAGCTGGGTCCCAATTTGTAACATATGCTGAAAAAATCACTTTTCTCATTAATGTCCACCTAATTTTTTGTGTAAGGGGTAGTTTTTCAATTTCACCCTAAAAACTTTATGATCATCGTTTAGCATTTTTCATGGGCTTTCCAAAACGGCGCCACAAGTGGGGTCGTCCATTTAAGATTTTCAAGTGAGTAGTGGTGCCGCCTTAGGGGAAGGTCGGGGTGGTTCAAAAAATACGTCATATGTATTCCCCCTCGATATTATAGAAACGGTATTTTTTATTTTTTTGATATCTTTGTTGGTTTAAAAATTATAGCCATTGTAAGTTTTCAGTGGCCCACCCTGTATTTTTCCTATATAGAAGGATGTGATTAATAAGTGATAATCATTTAAGTGATTATCGTAACTTGGTGGCCATATTGTAATTGTCATTTTTTGAAATATTAATTCAGAAGTCATTTCTGTCAGTTCCACAAAATATCCCGTCAATTCTTATTAAAATATGGAAAAAATATATGTACTTTATTTCGTTGTATAATCTTTTAAATACAACTCGATGTTTCGGGATTACCTAATACTTTTGCCTGACACTCAATGACATTTCGTGACAGGTAAAAGTATTATTCGGTAATCCCGAAACATCTTGTGGTATTACATTCGAGAGTATCTAAATATGTGAGAGATGTTACACCATAATTGGAAACGGTTATGTCCTCCAAGATAGGTCACTCCGGAAAGTGGACAAGAAAGTACTTACGCGTACTACATGAAGAAAGGTACCTTCTTACGGTGTATAATTAGCTTTAAATTTAAAAGAATAATATTATGTTGAATGTCTGTTTAATCCAATAAAATTGTCATTTGAAAAAAAAATTACGTCTTCTGAGTGTAAAATAAACAAAATCGGAAATTTTCCCCTTGCGGTTTTTGAGCAATAGGGGTGTTTTTTTTTAAACTGTACTACAACAAAATAATTAGACGCAAATTGTAGATAAGAACATTCTCTATAAGTTTGCCTAATAATTTTTTTTATAAGTTTATTATTTCCGGACTTAGCGGCTGTTTCATGAGCCCTTTGGGGTGGTTTTCAAAAAGTTTGTTTTACATCAAATTGACCCGTATGAAAGTTCAGCAAGACAACCAACTTTTCCTCATGATTTTTTTTGTAGCTTCATGGGGTAAATTGGGGTAGTTTAGTAGTTATTAAAATTACATGCAAACTTCCCTATGATATGTATTTATTGCCCCAAAACGAAACGTGTCATTAATAGCACTTGTGAATTTCCTGAAAAAAAAGACATTTAAAGCTACCACCACTTATTCATGATCTAGGCGCTATCTCCAAAAATAGTGAAGTTATAAAAAAAGCTCATAAGGCAAAGGTATATGTAGTCTTATTTTGAACGAGTTTCCTAGAGTTAATTTGCTGAAAAAAGAGTAACATTGAAAACTACCCTAATTTGTTCATGAACTGGACTCCAAAAATAACCAAGCTACAAAAAAAATTATGAGAAAAAGTTGCTTGTCCATTTATTATGAACAACTGTCAATTTGCTGTAAAACAAACTTTTTGAAAACCACCCCAAAGGGCTCATGAAACGGCCGCTAAGTCCGGAAATAATAAACTTATAAAAAATTCATTAGGCGAACTTGTAGAGAATGTTCTGATGTACAAGTTGCGTCTAATTATCTTGTTGTAGTACAGTTTTAAAAAAAACCACCCCTATTGATCAAAAACCGCAAGGGGAAAATTTCCGATTTTGTTAATTTTGCACTCAGAAGACAGTCGCTGACAAACTCTGAAAAAATCGTAATTTTTTTTCACTCTCTATACGGCGATACAATTTTACTGGATTAGTTGGTGAATATGTGATTTTTTATGTGTAATGTTTATGTATTTTATAACCTAAGAATTGAAGAATAGGAAATTGGTAGTATTTCTTTATATTATATCTGTCTTATAATTAAAAGTCTTTATTATTAATTAGCAACGCTTGTATTTTATTTATTATCAATGTAGAATGTCTGTTGGTGTGAATATAATGTGAATATGTATTTTTTTATGTGTAATGTATGTATTTTAATAACTTAGAATTGAAGAGAATAGGAAAATAGTATTATTTCTTTATATTATATCTGTCTTATAATTAAAAGTCTTTATTATTAATATATGAGTTTTATTTATTATCATTATTTACCTAAAAATAAAATTTTGAAAAAAAAGAATGAGGAAATTTTTAGAGATTTTTTAAGTTAATTCGAAAAGTTAACCAAGTTATTTTACCTAACGAAAAATAATTTTTTGCTTAAATTTTGAGAACCACTGATTTTTTTCTGGGTTTTCTTTCATGGAAATTTAATCTACTACCTATGTTGCTATTTTGTCAAGAAATTATGTTTGTAACCAAAAACTAAAAAAAAATCAAAAAATTTGTCAATTATTTTTCGCGAAAAAAACCCTGCTGATCGTATTTCTAGTGTCGAAATATACTACCTCTAAAATATTTCCACTTATTTAAAACTCACCCTATATATTCAATAATATTATTTCAAAAATTTTTAAAAATAATTGTTTGAACTACTTCTCTGTCAAATATCTCGGTATTATAAAAATAGTGACTGTCTAAAATTTGAATTGTGTCGCAAAAATAAATAAAAAATAATTAAATAACATATACAGGGTGAGGCTTAAATAAGTACAAATATTTTCATGACTGGTAGATCTTGATAAAAAAAACATATTTTCTATTTACTGTTTTTAAAATAAGTCGAAAATAACCGAGCTATTTTAATTTGAAAATTTTAAAAAAATGTGTATTTTTTACTTAAAATTTGAGGATCACTGGATCTTTCCTGGCTTGTCTTTTTTGTAAATGTATAGCCGGATTTATATGGAAAATCTGCCCCGCG